TTATGAAACTTTGTAACCCTTTGGGATAGGGCTTTCAAGGACCAGAAGGAACATACTTAAACACAAAATACAACAGCTAGTTTTCTGATGAGGAAGAACCAAGAACTTTCTCTCTAAACATCTCAAACAAGGGGGAAAAGCTCCTTTTACTCGTTACTCAATGAAGTGCTGCAAGTGCCGTACAGAGTAGTGCGGGAAGAGAAGAAACACTGTGCACAGCGGAGGGGAAGTCAGATTGTCACTGTCAGTAGATGACATGCTCTTACACATGCAAACCAGATGGCTCTGCCAGAAAACCTGGAAACCTGGCTAACACTAAGGAACAAATTCAACAGTTTCTGGACAGGCCTGCCACAGATAAAACCCACCAGTACTGCCTCAGGCCAAGAGCAGCAAGCTCTCTAAAACAGCATCAGGAAAGCGACCACATTTACAACAGTCACCAAAACAAACACAAACCCCACAATACTGACGCATATATTTAACCAGAAAAGTGAAAGTTCTACAATAAAAACTATATAACACTGGTTAAATGAAGCAGGAGCATACAGCTCAGTGATAAAACCTGGGCTCAGAATGTATGATACTTTAGTTCAATTCCCAGCACCAAAATAATTTTTAAAATTATATATATATATATATTATATATATGTAGGTACCTAATGCAAATTAATATAGTACAATAGATAGAAATGTATATGTGTGTATATATATTATATAAATATTTATTTATATAAATTTATATAAATTTATTTATATAAATATTTATTTATATAAATATAAATAAATAAGTATAAAATATATATATATATTTTATGTACACATGGGGGGGGGGTCCAGACACACACACACACACTTTTTTTTTTTTTAAAGACATGATTCCAAGCTGGTGTCAAACTGAGGCTTGGCTTGACCTCCAACTTCTGGGTCACCAGCCTCCACTGAGATTGCAGGTGTGTGTGATCATGTCCACTTTTATTCACTGCTGGGAACCGAACCCAGGGCTTCATGTATGCTAGGCAAGCACCTGCACCAAATGAGCTGCATCCCAAGTCCTGAAGAAACAACACACACTGGCCATATGTCCAGTCATCTTGCTAAATTTAATCCTTAATTCTAACAGCTCAACTGTGGTGTGGTCTTTACATTTTATATGTGCATATTAATGTAAATGAGTGAACTGTGATAAGTTTGCACATTCACTTTAATCTCTTATTTCTTTTTCTTGCTGGGCATTAACTCAGATCTGCAGAATTGTGTATAGCCCAAGGTCATGGGCAGAGCAAATACCACTACACAATTACATGACCTCTAATAAGGAGCTGGAGAAGGGTCACATGCCCCTTCTCCCTGCTCCTGCCTGTGAGGTGGATTGGCTCCCGGTCAGATCAGAGGACAAGTTCAGCTGTCTACTCTGTTCTGTAATTGTGAGTGTATTTCCTCAATTTATCTCTCTCACAGTTATGAGAGAGGCCCTGAGTTCAAGCACAGCCGAGGCTATAGAGACTGAAGGCAAAACAAAACAAGAATAGCCTTCTCTGTATAAATCTTGGTCATGAACACACACACACACACACACACACACACACACACACACACACACACACACACACACACCAGTCTACTTGTAATCATTAAAATTCTATACACAGCTTTTCATGCTTCCATCTAATGTTCTTACTGAACTCCTTGAAGTTAAAACCCTTATTTAAGTTTTAGCTCCAGAGCTTACCATTATGCCTGAAACAATTTGCTGACTCCATTCTATTGCAAAAAACTATTATTGCATGTGGATGCCTACTTTAATAAGCTGTATGAGATACCATATTTACATATCATATAAAGCAAACATTCAATTTTGTTTAATTTATGAATAGCTGTAAATCAAGGAAAAAGTCAGGGACAAAAGATAATGTATTTCCAGAATCATAGGGTGGCATCTCACAGGGAAAAAAAAAACAAAAAACGTTTTCCACCCAAGTGGCTTTTAAAATATACCTGCTTTGTATGCTTTTCTACATTGGTATGACACCAGTCTGTCTTAGAGAAGTAAGTTAGATACTTGCCACCTTAGAATGAAAACAAAACATGAAAAGCTTTCAAATACTTTGAATAAACTGTAGTTAAGCTTCAAATATACTGATAATATGCTTAGCAACATCTAATATCCTTTTCTAGTACTGAATATTATCTAGCAAAAACTCACATCTCCATAAAGAAATGGCTACTTTAGCATTTTATAACTACAAACTTACTACATATGTTTATTACTACCCAAGAGTCATTTTTGCTAAATACTAGCTGAAGAATAACTAACCACACCATATACTTTATTTTAAAAAAAGTATATTCATAAGGGCCATAAAAATCACCAATGATTACTCTGTTACCAAGTGTTTTTTTTGTTTTGTTTTGGTTTTTGGTTTTTGGTTTTTCAAGACAAGGTTTCTCTGTGTAGCTTTGAAGCCTGTCCTGGAACTCACTTTGTAGACCAGGCTGGCTTCGAACTCACAGAGATCCACCTGCCTCTGCCTCCTCAGTGCTGGGATTAAAGGCGTGCACCACCACATGGCACCAAGCGTTTAAGATAAAATCTTTACTAGCAAAAACTCCTTGTTTGTGGTTGAGGATATAGCTCAGAGAGAGGGGGAAGAGTGGGGGAATGGGGGGGCCTTGATCACCACACCTGGGAGGCAGAAGCAGGAGACATTGAGTCCTAGGCCAGCCACCTAGGGTTACAGAGTAGACCAAGTCTTAAACAATAAGCAAGAAAAGAAAGTAAACAATTTGATTACTGAATTAATCCTGTATTCACTGAGTTCCTATATCTACTTGGAAATATATGAAAACTAAAGTATTTGACGTTTCTTGTGAAACAATAAAGGCAGCAATCACAATATCTGGCATCTGTGACTGATTTCATTTTTTACCTTGTTTGGTGACTTCAGAGGTGAGATGGCTATCTTATTTGGTGTCTGTGTTGTAGAATTTAAAGTTGATCCAATAACGCCACTTTCCGATATTGTTATGGTCTTTGATGGAGTTCCAGGGGTAGACTGTGAAAGAACCCTACCTGCAAATGAGAGGCAGCCCATCAGTTGATGGATTTAGTAACAGTTATAAACACTTACATGATGACGACCTATATATACAAGGGCTTTAGTTTCACATATACCAATATATGACTTTAGAGACATTAGTGAGACCCTAATGAACTACAGTGAACCCAAGGATTGCCTAAGAATACGCTCCAAAACACAGTTAAGCCATATCCATCAGAGAGCGAGCTTGAGACAACTCAGGGCTTCTGCCCTGAGTCTGCTTCTGAACTACACCTGTCCTATGGCTGTCTTCCTATCTGAACTTCACCTGTCCCATGGCTGTCTTCCTATCTGAACTTCACCTGTCCTATGGCTGTCTTCCTATCTGAACT